TTGTTGGAAGAGATGGTATCTTTGTGGCATATACGCATTCATACAACTTCAATCATCTTGAAAACCGTATGTACGTTTATGTCCATAATACTTCAGAAATTCTACAAGCATTAAGAAATGGTTTCGAAGTTGAAGATGGACGTGAGATCAATGTTCGTGCTGAGTTTGAAGTTAAGCATTCTTATTTTGATCACCTTCAGCATGCTGTAGTGATAGCTCCAGATTACGTAAAGCGATGTCTCCTACCTGATGCCATGTCTTTTAGTAGCTTGTTCCTTACATTTGGTTTGCAATATTCTAGATCCTTCTTCATGAAACTAGATGAAAGCTACCAGCTGGAAGCTTTAAGGATGATCACATCAGATTCATCTCAACCCTCACCTTTAGCATGCCCTCCTCCTGTTATTCTTTATGGTCCGTTTGGCTCTGGTAAAACTCGAATTCTCGCTCGAGCTGCATTTGAGATAATGGTTAATGGAGTTGTTTCTAAAAAGACAACCAGAATTCTTATTTGTGCTCACCATGAGCAGTCAATAGAAACATTCATCTTTTGGTACTTTGGACCAATTGCAAAAAGGCAGCACCTTCCTTTTGATGTTGTCCTCATTGGTAGAAATGAAAACAGTGGAGTCTATTCTAACATGTACATGTCAATGGATCGTTTTATTAATGTAGCTTCTTCAAATATAAAGAGGTTGCGTCATGTTCTCATTATCGCTACATATACCATGTCTCTGAGGTTACATGGATGCCTCAAATCTGCAGATGGTTTCTTCACACATCTTTTTCTTGATGAAGCAGCTCAAGTTCGTGAGCCTGAAGCGATCATACCACTTGTTCTAGCTACTAGAAATGCCAAGATAGTGTTAGCTGGTGACAATAGACAGGTATTATTGTTTGTTACAAATTAATTAATTTTAAAGTTTTGACAGGTTGGTCCCAACATTTTAGTATTGGGAGAAGAAGCAAGAAAATTTGGCCTTCATATTTCACTTTTGGAGCGTTTAATGAAGAGATATGAAGAAATTGGCCCAGTAGCTGCAAGCTATGTAACCAAGTTGTCAGTAAATTATAGATCACATGAGTCTTTAATAGCTTTGCCAAAATTATTTTATGACAACTTAGAACTAAACACTGCCAACGCTTTAAATGAAAGGAGTGGTCCTACTGGCTATAGTTTTGTATGCTCTGATTCTAAATTGGTGCCTACATACATAGACAGAGACCATCCTTTTGTTGAAGCCTGTATTGTCTTAGAAGAAGTGCGGTCTTATTTAAAAGTAATGGAGCAAATGAAGATTAATCTTGATCCAAGACAGATTTGTATCATTACATCAACCAGGAAACAAGTACATGTACAGTTGTGTGTTAAAAATTATTTTAATGTAATGTACAGTTGAATCATATCAGAGACATGGCATATCAGTATAAAGAATATGAGGCTGCAAGAAAAGTTTGTTTCAAACCTTCTTTTATGATACTAGGTATAGAGTAACTGTTCAATGATGTTTATATTTTGCATGCATTATATAGGTCATGAATTTCATGCTATTTTCTTAAGCCTGTTTGAGCCAATACAAAATGATGAAATGAATGCCTTTTATGTCAAGAGTTTATTCAATCCTTTTGTTTTTAATACTGTAATCACAAAGGCCAAATTTCGAGTAGTTGCAGTTGGAAGACTGAATGAGGTTCAACAGTTTGAAAATGACACACTTTCTCATTCTTGTCGAAGTGATAACAGAGTAAAATGCTGGCATGAATACCTATCCTTGTGCAGAAGACAAGGAACTTTGCACAATGAAAAGTAATGACTTATTATATGTAGTATACATTAACTGATAGGAAAACTACTGGCAACAGAGCAGAGATTGAACCAAGCATATTGCCACAGATTGATACTAGAGGAGGTAAAGGTATGTGCATGCACATGACTATTGTCCCAAAATGAAGAAAAAACAAAAGGTTTACATGTACATGTATTTAGAAATTAAATTGGTTTCATTTACATTACAATGTACAATGTGCATGTAGATAA